TAGGCGGGGAGAATTGACAGAAGATAATCTACAACAATGAACCCAAAATCTATGAAAATGTACCCATAACCTACGACAATGAACCCATAACCTACGACAATGGACCCATAACCTACGACAATGAACCCATAACCTACGACAATGGACCCATAACCTACGACAATGAACCCATAACCTACGACAATGGACCCATACCTTCGACAATGGACCTATAACCTTCGACAATGAACCCATAACCTACGACAATGGACCCAGAACCTATAACCTACAGACAACGGACCCATAACCTACGACAATGGACCCATAACACTCGACAATGGAACCATAATCTTCAACAGTGGACCCATAACCTTCGACAATGAACCCAGATCCTTCGACAATGGACCCATAACCTTCGACAATGGACCCAGAACCTTCGACAATGGACCCATAACCTACGACAATGGACCCATAGCCTACGACAATGGACCCATAATCTTCGACAATAGACCCATAACCTACGGCAATTTACCCATAATCTACGACAATGGACCCATAACCTACGACAATGGACCCATAGCCTTCGACAATGGTCCCATAACCTTCGACAATGGACCCATAGCATTCGAGCATGGACCCATAACCTTCGACAATGGACCCATAACCTTCGATAATGGACCCATAACCTTCGACAATGGACCCATAGCTTTCGATAATGGACCCATAACCTTCGACAATGGACCCATAGCCTTCGACAATGGACCCATAGCCTTCGACAAAGGACCCATAGCCTTCGACAATGAACGCATAACCTTCGACAATGTACCCATAACCTACGACGACATAACCTTCGACAATGGACCCATAGCCTTCGACAATGGACCCATAACCTTCGAGAATGGACCCATAACCTTCGACAATGGACCCATAGCCTTCGACAATGGACCCATAACCTTCGACAATGGACCCATAACCTTCGACAATGGACCCATAACCTTCGACAATGGACCCATAGCCTTCGACAATGGACCCATAACCTACGACAATGGACCCATAACCTACGACAATGGACCCATAACCTACGACAATGTACCCATAACCTACGACAATGGACCCATAGCCTTCGAGAATGGACCCATAACCTTCGACAATGGACCCATAACCTTCGACAATGGACCCATAACCTACAACAATGGACCCATAACCTTCGACAATGGACCCGTAACTTTCGACAATGGACCCATAACCTACAACAGTGGACCCATAACCTACAATAATGGACCCATAACCTACGACAATGGACCCATAACCTTCGACAATGGACCCATAACCTACGACAATGGACCCATAGCCTTCGACAATGGACCCATAACCTTCGACAATGGACCCATAACCTACGACAATGGACCCATAACCTTCGACAATGGACCCATAACCTTCGACAATGGACCCATAACCTACGACAATGGACCCATAACCTACGACAATGGACCCATAACCTACGACAATGGACCCATAACCTTCGACAATGGACCCATAACCTACGACAATGGACCCATAACCTACGACAATGGACCCATAACCTACGACAATGGACCCATAACCTACGACAATGGACCCATAACCTTCGACAATGGACCCATAACCTTCGACAATGGACCCATAGCCTTCGACAATGGACCCATAACCTACGACAATGGACCCATAACCTACGACAATGGACCCATAACCTACAACAATGGACCCATAGCCTTCGACAATGGACCCGTAACCTTCGACAATGGACTCATAGCCTTCGACAATGGACCCATAACCTTCGACAATGGACCCGTAACTTTCGACAATGGACCCATAACCTACGACAATGGACCCATAACCTGTAACAATGGACCCATATCCTATGACAATCGACCCATAACCTACGACAATTAGAGCCATTATTGATAACTGCTCTTGCATAACGACAGGTACCTACAACAATGTATGTACAGAATAAGCGGTAAAAAACGGAGAGGGGATCATCTATAAACAAGGGACCAGATTCACAAAGGCACCTACGAATGTTTTTCTTCTTAGCGCCTTCGTAGCGGCTACGTCGGTATTCAGGTAGGCATACTAAGAAGGAAATCTTCCGATGTTTGCTCCGTCAGCTAAAGTTGCTGTCGACCACTCGTAGCTTTACATGAACTGGATAGAACTCACTTTTTCTCTTCTTCACAACACGGAGGATCGATTTTATTATAAACAAAAGATTTTAGCTGAAGAATTTTGTCCTTCGTGATTTTTCTATATGCATTCTCTGCTTGAAACTTGCAGTAACTATGTCTGTTATGATATTAGAATTAGTTTTATAATGCGAGATATTATACCAGTAGTTATTAAGTAAATAAACACTAGTGAACATGAAATGTGAGAGAAGGTGAAGAGCCCTGCCTGATGAGAACATTTACTATCACCAAGCTCACCTTGTAAAAAGTATAGATGGGTATGTACAGCTAAGGTACACCCCCTGTTTTTAATTTATTTTGTTTGGTTTTATTTTGAAAGTAAATCTGGGTGAATGATAAAATAAATATATGTTGCACAAATGATGTTAGGTTTATGAAAAACTTCAAAAACTTTTCACATTGAATACTTAAACCTATAATTATGACTATATGGACTATTTAAAAAGATAGAGGGAAGTTATGGTCCTAGACCTCTACCTGTTACAAAATTTGGGTGTGAGGGCACATCACGCATGGACTTGCCTTTGCAGGCAAGTCCACTCCGCGCTCACCATAGCCCGTTCTACTTCATCCCGCTCCTGTGCCAGGTAAGTTACAGGCTCACCATAGCCCGTGCTACTTGGAGCTTGTTCCGAGTAACTGAATCTATAACAACAACCGGTGTGAGGGACAAGTAATTATCAAAAGAAGGCACCATGCCGGGAAGGCTATGTAGCAGTAAGGCAGTAAGGTGAGGCAGCTACTTTTTGAGGAATGCTTATTTTATTTACCTTATAAGCTCAGGAAGCTTATTTTATTTGAGGCATGCTCAGCTGATTCCTCTACATTTAGCATGGAACAAATTTGTGTCCAAGACCTCTTCCTGTTACACAATTTGGCTGTGCAACAATCAGTAAGTAATTATCAAAAGAACGCACCAAGCTGGGAAGGCTATGTAGCACCATTGTGTGTAACAATAAACCTAATTTTTTTAACAAATAATGCAACTGTGAGAAACAAATCCTGTCAGCTGTAAAAATATTGATGCAGTTATTTAAATAAAAAATATAATGAAAGAAATATTACTGGTTTCTTTTTATCCTATCATTTTATACTATACAGTATATCCAAAGAAGTGAAAATTGAGACAAAATGCACAATTTAATGAATGATTCAAAAGAAATATGACTATTACATATCAATATGAGATCTTAATGATCCATGGTTAACATGATTTAATAAGGATAATATTGGTAATAATACAAACTGTAATTTAAAATCTTTATTACTGATATTTTTATATTAAGAAGCTTAGGTATACACAGCAATGTGCCGCTAACCTATTCTATATGGAAGATTATTCTATTATGGAAGATTAGTGTAGATAAAAAAATAGCTATACGTTCATCTAATACTCCCATCTCACAAGATGGTTAGGCATACATAGAATCAGGGGAGAAAATACCAGCCTCAATACAAAAAACAAATCAACTCTGACTAAACAACAACTTCACGATTTTCACAAGAGGTAAACACTGAATCATGGACACATTATATTATAACTACTCTTACCAGTTTCTACAAGACTCCTCTCAAACAATGTATTTTTTTAACATGCTTAGGTATACACAGCAATGTGCTGCTTCTCTATTCTGTATGAAGGTCCATATAGTCTAGATCAAAAACCAGCTACAAGCTCGTCCAACATCCCCACCTCACTGGACGGCCAGTCATACATGGAATCAGGAGAGAACAATATGTAAAGCTGATCTATTAGCCCCCACTGGCAAAATCTGGGTACAGTAAAAGAATATCTTTCATTATTCCTCAGTGTATGAAGTAATTACAGAGCTCAAAGTACCTTATACTATTTGGTATGAAGTCACTGATAACAGGCCAATCACAGATATAGTGTTGGTGAGCATGTCCTCTCAAGTAGGACTGAAAACAGAATTTTTTTTTTACTCAGAGAGTTAAAACCTATGGAACAGCTTACCCGCTGAAGCCGTAAATGCCAAAATCCAGCTAGAAAATATAATTAGGACAATTGGGAAGATAGCCTGCTTGCTCGTTGCAGGGTTTGGTCACGGCGTTGGCGTTCTCTCAGTTGTTGGCTGACGTTTGGTGCGAGCAGGTCGCTGTTGTTGGTGTGTGGAGTGCCGGCTAGCCTGTGGGGGCGGATTGCGTTATGGCGTCGTCGGTGACGCGGATTCGGAGGGTGGATTCCACAGGATTGGAGTTCTCGGCGGCTACTGATTGGACGTTGGTGTAGGTGGCACTTTTCGATGTTTTACTGGTGGACCTGCATTCTATTTACGGCCTTGAGAAGATCTCTGACAGGCGTGTGGTGGTCAAGTTCTCTGCCCTTGGTCTATATCAGCGCTACGTGAGTGATTTTGCTGGGCATTCTTTCCAGCTCCTGGACTCTGCTGGTACTGTGGCGCCGACGTTTGTCAGCATCCATGGAGTTCCCTTGGACTTTCCCGAGGTCCTTCGCACCTGCTTCTCTCGGTACGGTACTATGTTCACACACCATATAACTTGTCTCTGCTCAGGCCACCTGTCAGGCTTGAGGGCCAATGTTCGGACCCTTGGCATGCGCTTGACACGTGATATTCCATCTAAGGTCACGTTCTACGGCTTTAACCTGCGGGTATTCTATGAGGATCAACCACGCACCTGTTTTAGGCGTGGCTTGCGAATGCCTCTTGTGGCCGGTTGCACTGCTTCTGGGGTGGGGAGGCCAGCCCTCTTTCAGAAGGGTGATTTTCCACCATTGGGGGTTGGGGGGCTAAGCCGGGTGTTGTGGAGGCCATGAGTGTCCCTCGCGACCCCTCTCCGTCGTTGGTGCCATCTGATTTGAATGTTCCTACTCCGCCTGTTCAGCAGTTTGGCCCACCTGGCCCGTTGGTGTCTGATGCGGCAGCCTCGCTTCCTATGCACGTCGTCACTGCGGAGGTTCATCGGGATTCAACTGTTACTGACATGAAGTCGGGTACGCCTGTGGCAGCTGCTCCGCCGTGTGTAGGTCGGAGTGGCGATCCTGCAGGTCCTCCGTGTGATGTTGCTCCCTCGTCTGGTGGCCGTGCATCCGACGTGGTTGCTGCTGCTCCGGTGGCGCTGCGTTCCTCTCGTGGCTCTAGAGGGCCTTCCCTAGTCGCGGCGTCGGATCAGACCCGTCGTAAGCAGGAGGCACAGACGCATTCCTCGGACACAGGTCCTCCCGTCAAGCGAGGGGGGTCTACGGCTGGGGCTGCTGTGGCGTGTGCCCCTCCTCCTCCTCCTCCTCCCTCTGGTGGCCTGCTGGGGTCTGTTGCTCCTGGGGCTCCCTCTGGGGGCAATGAAGCCCCGAAGGCGATTGAGGATGCACAGTGGGTGGTGTCCACTAATGTGGAAGGTATTGGACGGGATGTGCTGACTATTAAGTTTACGAAGTCCACGAAGAGTGTGGGCGCCGACGTTCCTGTGGCCCCCTCCGCTGCCGGGTTGCCAGATGATGTGCCTCCTGTTCCTGTTGCCTTCCCTATGGGGGGCTCTGGTGCGCCTTTGTTGGGGACTGTGGGGTTGGTGGGGTCCTGATTGCACTTCCTGATGATGCCCTCACTTCCCATTGAGGTGTTTTCTCCCTTCGAGTGTTTTTTTGTGTGTGTGCTATGTGCTGTGATGTTATGTCTGCTGGTGTGCATGGATGTGGGGTGCGGTTGCGTGCGGGTGTGGGTGTGTGGGTGGGCCGGGTTTGTTTTCCCGGTTCTTGCGTGCTTGTTGTGTGGTTGTTGCTGCCCTTCGGGCTGCATGTGTGGCCCTGCCTGTTTTTGTTCTAACTGTAGTGTTTGCCGATGTTATTTTCCTTTAGTTTTTGTGTTAATTTTTGTGTTTCACTAATTTTTAATGTCTTTATGTATTCATGCCTCTCCGTGTGGTATCGGGGGCCAGTAGGCTTTTGTGTTGTTTCAATAGTTGGGTTGTTGGGCGTGGGTTTAGGTTCTTTGTACTTGTACTGTTGTGCTTATTGCTTTTGTTGTCGGCCCTTCTGGCCTGTAATTTGAATGTTTGTAATTTTGTACTTTTGTGACTGTACTTTGTGTTTTATGTTTGTTCTCGTGTTATCATCTCCAAGTCACACTTGGAGATGATTGCTAAGGCATGGAAAGAAATCAATGTGGAATTGAAGGACCTGAGAGAAACTATATGTAAGCTGCAGATAGAACTAAGTGCAGCACAAGAGGAGATAAAAAGTCTAAAAACAGGCCCTCCTCAGACTCTGGCCCAGGCAACCAACCCCCAGGATGCTATGTGCAAAGTCAAGGAAGTTGTAATGAAAGCAGTAACATCACAAGAGGCAGCTAGATGCACAAGCCAGCTAATGGAAAGGAAAAGAGCTGTAGTAGTGACAGGTGTGAAAGAACAAGAGGGTTCCACAAGGGAGGCATGGAGGACTAAAGACAAAACTGCAGTGGCAGGGATATTAAAGGAGATAGGAATGGAAGGGGCTGAACGAGACATAAACCAGTTTTTCCGGATTGGCCAGTACAACAGAGACAAAAAAAGAGAGTGATCAAGGTAGTATTCAAGAGCGAGGTCATCATAGAGAACATCCTAGTAAAGAGGAGCAAACTGAGATATGCAAGGAATTACAAAGAGGTATATCTTTAGAGGGACATGACCAGGGACAGATAGTAAGGGCAGAAGATGCAAGGAAAAGGCGCAGTGAGAGGGAAGGGAGACAGGGAACCTCAGCCTCCAACCCAGCAATCCCAGATTGGAGTGGGGAACCCAAATCCAGCAACTCAGGAACCCTAAAGGGGACTGCAACACCCCAGCCCACCACCCAATAGCGCCCCCTAACCCCCCAAACCCTTCCTTGCCCCTGCACAATGCCCATTATATCACCCAAATCCTCCCTCTCCCCTTACCAAGAGTATCCCCTGCTTTCCCAGCCCCTGGTCTTCTTCCTGCCCCAGGCAGGCTCAGGCAAGACCTAAGCCCTCCATCCCCCACTCCACCTCCCCCTGAACCCCTGGCAACTACCTCACAGGAGGATGAGCCTACCCAAGTAGCAATGTCAATGGAACAACTTCCAACACTTGTGGGGAGAGAGGGTGAAATTGGATATAAGAAAGTGAGCTTCAAGATAATGTACTCAAACATTGATGGGATTACAAATGAAGCAAGTTAACTGGCAGAAAGGGCACAAGAAGAAAACCCTGAAGTAATTGGACTCATGGAAACAAAATTGTCAGGAGTCATAACAGATGCTGTGTTTCCAAAGGACCACTATATAGTAATAAAGAGAGGAAAGGGAGAGGAGGTGGAGGAGTGGCCCTGCTGATAAGGAAGGACTGGAGTTTTGACGAGATGGAAATTCCGGGCTGTGACGGGTTCAGAGATTACATAACAGGAACTATAACAATGGGTGGACCTAAGATAATTGTGGCAGTCATTTACAACCCTCCCCTAAATGCCAGAAGACCCAGACAGGAGTTTGATAGGAACAACATGGCAACCAATAATATAATAGAGAGAGCAGCTTCACTTGCCTGCAGGAATGGCTCAAGACTCTTAATCATGGGCGATTTCAACCAAGGAAAGATAGACAGAGATAATGGGGACCCACATGGTGGTGCAGATACATGGAGAGCTAAACTTTTGGAAGTGGCAATAAGGAACTTTCTGAGCCAGCATGTCAAGGAACCCACAAGAGTGAGAGGCAATGATCAACCAGCTAGACTCGACTTGATATTCACCCTGAATGAGTCAGAAATAAGGGAAGTCAAAGATGAAGCCCCCATAGGAATGAGTGACCACAGTGTACTGACTTTTGAATACTTGGTGGAGGTAGGGATAACCTATCCAAGGATGGGAGTGGAGGGGAAAACACTAAATTACCGAAGAGGAAAATATGACGAGATAAGGAACATCCTAAGGGGAATACCATGGGAAACAGAACATAGAGACAAGAATGTGCAGGACATAATGGATTTTGTGACCCAGAAGTGCAAGGAAACTGAAGGCATGTTTATCCCGGTCCAAAACGAGAAAAACAAAAAACAGAAAAACCCATGGTTCAACCAGGAATGCAAAGCAGCGAAGAAATTGGGTATAAGAACAAAAATAACAGAACACTGGAGAGCAGGGAGAGATACCAGAGGGCCAGAAATGAGTACCTCAGAGTGAGGAGGGAAGCACAGAGACAGTACGAAAATGACATAGCAAGTAAAGCCACAACCCAACCAAAGCTGCTCCACAGCCACATCAGGAGGAAAACAGCGGTGAAGGATCAAGTGATGAAATTGAAAAAAAGGGGAGAGCAGATACACAGAGAATGACAAGGAGGTGTGTGAAGAACTCAACAAGAGAATCCAGGAGGTCTTCACAATAGAACAAGGAGAAGCCCCTGCGCTAAATTAGGAGGAGGCAAACCAAGCAACCTTGGAGGAATTTGACCTCACCAGTGATGAGGTCAAAAGGTGTCTGCTGGAGATGTATGTGACAAAGTCTGTTGGGCCTGACATAATCTCTTGAGTCTGACAAGATTGAACTATTCAACACTGGATGGACGCGAACAAGGGGACACAGGTGGAAACTTAATACCCATATAAGCCACAGAGACGTTAGAAATCATTTTTTCAATGTAAGAGTAGTTAATAAATGGAATGCACTAGACAGTGATGTGGTGGAGGCTGACTCCATACACAGTTTCAAATGTAGATATGATAGAGCCCAGTAGGCTCAGGAATCTGTACACAAGTTGATTGACAGTTGAGAGGCGGGCCCAAAGAGACAAAGCTCAACCCCCACAAGCACAATTAGGTGAGTACACACACACATAATGCAGGGGGGATATACAGGAGGCACTGAACTACAGGTACAGGTCAGTGTCCCTAACTTGCATACCATGCAGGTTGATGGAGTGGATTGTGCGAAAAAAGCTAGTTGAACAGCTGGAGCAAAAGAACTTTGTAACACAACATCAGCATGGGCTCAGGGATGGAAAGTCTTGCCTCACAGGAATAAATTAATTCTATGACCAGATAACACAAATCAGTCAAGAAAGAAAGGGCTGGGCAGACTGCATATTCTTGGACTGCCAGAAAGCCTTTGCCACAGTACCACATAAGACACTAGTGCACAAACTGGAGATGCAGGCAGCAGTGAAAGGAAAGGTACTGCACTTGTTAAGGGAGTACACATAAGACAGCGAGTCACTGTGACGGGGGCCGGGGTAAGTTTCGGAGTGGCGAGGCGTCACCAGTGGAGTCCCAAAGGGATCAGTCTTTGAACCTATGTTTCTGATGTATGTAAATGAACTTCCAGAGGATATAGAATCGTTCCCCCTCAATGTTTGCCGATGATGCAAAAATTATGAGGAGGAATAGGACAGAAGAAGATAGTATGAGGCTACAAGATGACCTAAACAAATTGAAGGAATGGTCCAACAAATGGTTGCTAAAGTTCAACCCAAGTAAATATAAGGTGATGAAACTAGACAGAGGAAATAGGAGGTCATACACTGGTTAACGATTGGGAGAGAAAATCCTTCACAAAACGAACAGAGAGAAAGATCTAGGAGTTGATATCACGCCAATCCTGTCTCCTGAAGCCTACATCAAAAGAATAACATCGACGGCGTATACAAGGCTGGCTAACATCAGAACTGCCTTCAGAAACCTGTGTAAGGAATCTTTCAAAACCTTGTATACCACATATTTAAGGTCAATCCTGGAGTATGTGGTCCCTGCATGGAACCGGTACCTTCTCAAAGCCAAGCTGAAGCTGTAAAGAGTTCAGAGGTATGGCACTATTGAAAAGTCCCAGAACTAAGAGACATGAGTTATGAGGAAAGTCTACATGAGCTGCACCTCACGTCAGTAGTTGTGCACTTGACAGGGCGACCCAGTTTTTATCGCATTAAGATCTTATGTAATAGTGGTTGTTATCAGATATGTTATTTAGGAACATAGTGTATTCATTAAGTGTGCTTATCAGTGCTTAATCGCTACTAAATGTGACTATCAGGCTTAGGCATCAGTGTTTGTGTGAGGTAACCCTAATTGTTCTTACGTGGGGTCGAGCTTCAGTTATTGGGCCCAGCCTCTCAGTGGATGAATGTTTTTTGTGCGTGTGCATGTGTGTGAGCTCACCTAGTTGTTGTGCTTATGTGGGGGTAGGGCTTTAGTTCTTGGGCTCCGCCTCTCAGTGGAAGAATGTTTTTTGTGTGTGCGTGTGCACATGCACGTGTAAGAGTAAGCTCACCTAGTTGTACTCACCTCGATATTTGAGGGGTGTAACCCTAATTGTGCTTATATGGGGGTTGAGCTTCAGTTCCAGGGCCCCATCTCTCAGAGGATGAATGTTTGTGTGTGTGTACTTATCTAGTTGTACTTACCTAGTTGTGCTTGAGGGGGTTGAGCTCTGGCTCTTTGGTCCCACCTCTCTACTGTCAATCAATTAATGTACAGGTTTCTGAGCCTACAGGGCTCTATCATATCTACACCTGAAGCGGTGTATGGAGTCAGCCTCCATCACAGCACTTCCTAATGCATTTCATTTGTCTACTACTCTGACACTGAAAAAATTCT